GATGTCTGCAATGCAATTTTGAACTGGTTTTTGTAAATATAGCTTTGACTATGCTTTCTCCTTTCCTTTCTCTTTAAGAAAAATAGCAAAACACATCTTTTGTTAGTGAACTGATTACTTATTTTTTTCTTTATTTTTCTCTTCCATTTTTTCCTGTTTCTTTGTTTTAGGCAAATTAATGTAAACCAAAATGTCTCAGAATATTCTTGTTTTTCATGACCTTGACAATTTGAGGATGGTTGGTCAGATATTGTGTAGAATGCGTCTTGATAAAGTGTCATTTAAATTTTTGTTTTTGTTGAGAAACTTGTATCATTGTGGGTTGTTATGATTTTCATTGGAACTCTTCATTTTGGCCCTATAAGATGGACCTAGTTCCAAGAACAACCTTTTATTCTACAATTAAGGATAAAGCATAAACTGATGGAGAGGAAACATAAATATTGAGTTAACTTCAGATGAAAGAATTATAGGTCACAAGGGGAAAAAGAAGGAAAACACAGGAGACAAGAGAAGGATGTAAAGAGAACCAAAAGCAAAGCACAAAACAAAGAGGTCGCGTTGACCTGAGTTCCAGGTTTGCCTGAGTCTCCTGCTTCATTATTCTATATTCTATTTCCCAATGCAATTTCCACATTTATTATTCTGTTTTTCCCTAAACTCAGTGATTTTGAAACCTCAAGAATATTATATTATGATTTTGAAGAATAAACAGGTGCTGCATATTTAAAGAATACATCACCAAAGTATGAGAGAACTGTATTTTTTTTAATTCTCTTGCTCACTGGCTGTGTGATCTCTAGTAAGTTTTAACCTTGCCTCACCTGACTCCAAATGGTCATAACTGCACAGATAAACAGAAAGGCAGATGAACACAGCCAGAGAGTAGGGTTCTAACAAGTGGAAATGTTAAGTGTGCAGGATAAGGAAAAGCCTATAGTAGCTGTGTAGTGAGCCTATGTCACCTCTCTGCACACCTCTAGCTGTGTGTTGCAGTGGCCTGTACACTGACATTTTTATAGAGCAATTTGGAGGGTTGCTAACATCAAAGCAGTGCATATGCATATCAACTTTGCCTAAAATAGTTACTAAATATGCTTACCTTGCCCCAAAGACACTGGCTTGTCTGGTTTTCAAGAACAATTTTTTATTTCAGGCAAGGTAAACATTTAGGAGAAACCCATTTCTTCTCATATAAATATTTTCATTTTAGAAGCCTTGTACGGTGAGGCTGAAGGGGGAAAGATGAAAAGGAATAAGATACACTTCAAATTTTATTTTCAGCTTTACTTCAGATTAAAAACAAGAGCAAAGGTTAAGTTGGAGGTTCTTCTGGCACTACTCATGTGTATATATCAGGAAGTGAGTAAGCTCCCCGCCAAACTAAGCAAGTTTCTGACAGCGCTAAAGAAGCATCTTTACCTGCCTTACACTAACATGGTAACGCCATAAGAGGCTGGCAATGGATGCAATTCTTTTCCACTAAGAGGGTTTGGTAACACAGCACTGCACCTCCACAGGATGCCAATCAGACTGTTATAAAACTAGAGCTAAAGCTGCTATTCAGTAGGTGGGAAGTGCACCTGTAAATAAGACTCATATTAATCTGCAATTCTGCTCCATAAGACTCCACTGGAAAACAGTACACTGACAGCAGAGTGCAGGACATAGTTATTGTTAACCCCAGGGTCCTCAATCCCCATTAGACATAAGTTTCTGTCCAGCAGTGTGGCCACAAGTATTTATGCACACTCTTGTTTAACAAAGAAAAAATATGTCTCATATGCATACTGAATATGGAAACCTTAGCATTCAAACTACTTTTTTGAACTTTTAAAATAAACTAAGAACGTAAGCACCTGCCTGGCAAGTGCAAGGTTGTGAGTTTGATCTCTAATACCAAAATAAATAATTTTTTTAAAAGTAAGCTAAGAAATAAAGAGAGAAGAGCTGAAATGTTAGTGACGTCATCAGTGATGGTTACAGCTGTCAGTTCCTGCTTTCTCGGCTTATGAATTCATTTTCTGTTACTATAAGAAAATACCTAGGCTGGGTGACTTTATGAATGAAAGTTTACTAGATCACAGTTCAAGAGCGTGATGCCCATGTCAGTCATCTTCAGTGGGAGCCTCATGGCAGATGGCACCACACAGACAAGGGAATATCTAAGGAGGAAGCCAAAGGTCTGCCTCAGGTGGTCAGGCTTATAATTTACATCAGCTGTGCCATGTATACTGAATATTACTTTACTCTCTTTGATGTGGAGTGCCCAGCAACACTTAATGACCTCCCACCAAGTTCTATCTCTAAAAGTTTCCATCATCTGTCATCACTGCCACCCAAGACACAAGTCCTCAGCACAGGAAGCTGTGGGGAATACCACAAACCTTTAGAAATGATGGTAGTTAGTACTTCCCTGCACACCCCAATATTAGCTTATTCATATAATCGCCTTCCTAAAATCTTTGACTGGCATTAGTATCACCTGGCTTTGCAAAGAGCCACTTAGAATAGCAATGACTTCTCTCTCCTATTCAGTTTTAGAAATTTGTGGAGAAGTAACATTAAAAACACTTGGGAAAATCATCTGGTAATCTTATAGACAGCCAAAATTACTGGATTTTCAAGTTATAATTTTTGATGTGATATTCTTAGCAAATATATAAAATACTTTGTTATATATAACAAAAGTAGGTGAATTATATACTGTAAAAAAACATTATGCATATAGAAAAGATTCATTATTCATTCAATTTTATAAACACAGAAAAATAAGAAATACTGAGAAGTGAAATTGAGCTGAAATCCAAAGAACTAAATCATCATGCTGGACTTCAATCTTAAGAGCCTGTGTCAAGACAGGTACATTTTGGTCCCAGATTAGAGAGCTCAACATACCTGAGGAACAAGATGCAGGTCTGAGATGACAGTGAAGAAGGAAATGTCCAATAAGATGCTCACACATGAGCCTGAAATGATCAGTCTTGCTTCTCTGGCAGTGCCTCCCCTTCATTGCTCCTCCTCTTTCCTCACTATACACACATTTTATACTTGTTAGATTCTTACTCTGTCCTCCATGTATTTACATCTTTTCATATTTTCTGCTTTTTATTGCTCTGGGATTCATTCGGCATGATTTCTTCAGTTTTCTCTCCTTTTTAGCAATTTCCTGTTGAGCATATTTCATCTTATAGTAGTCTATGTCTTGTTTGATGTTAATCTTTTATTTATTTTTGTCTTATATGATAGCAACGAACATTAAAGTCATTAAATTTTAATTTACTTTATTTTATTACGCACTGAGAATCAAACTCGTGACTTTGTGCTTGCCACGCAGGTGCTTATGCCACTGAGCTACATCCCCGATCCTTAATTTCCTTTATGACATTTAAAATTTTCTATGCTATCTAGTTGCTTTCCTGATATGCACAATTACTTTACTATTTTCCATTTTGTACAAAATTTCAAAGTTTTATTCTTTAAACATATACAAATGTATTTTATACTTTGTAGCAGGTATTTCCCAAATCAGAAGACTTTTGCAATCTAATTTTTGTTCTTTTGCTCTTGATACCTTCTGCTCTTGATACTTCTCCCACTCCAGTGTCATAAGAAATAAGACTCATAATTTGCTAGAACTGGTGGAAGACATAAATCCATAAATTTAGAAAACCTGTAGTAAGATAAATAATAATACAATCCATGGTAAGGCATATCACAACGAAACAGCTAAAAATAAAAAATAAAGTTAAAATCTTTTTAATACATGCACAAAAATTCAATAGGTTACTTTCAGAAGAGCAACAATGAGCTAGCAACTAGCTTTTTTTTTTGTATCAGAAATCAAACTCATGATCTTGTGCTTGTCAAGCAAGCCACTAACTTTTTAAAACCACAAATGGAAGATGGATGTCCATAAGACTATGCTGACCAGTGACATTCTTCACAAAAAAGATGTCACGTGAAAATTCTGAAATATAAAATGAGCCATAAATATATAAAATATTTGTCATGTGAATATCACAGAAAAATCTAAATAAATGTTACATTTATAAAGCAAAGTAATGCTATATAACATATTAAAAGATCATTTAAAATATCATTTGACTTTCCAAGAGGAAAATGGTCCACCAGCAGACCAGTGTGTGTTTGAATAAAAAGATATAGCAAAGACACGTTGCTATTAATCCCCTCAATATCCTCCCAGTCACTTCCAAGGCACATTTCCCATTGTTTATACTCTTTTAGGAAGCACTTCTTGAAGTCTTCTTCTGTGATTATTTTAGAAGGCTTAATAATAAATATGGTGAATGTTATTTCTAATTGCCAGTCAATGAAAAGGAAAGCTTATAAAGATGTCACCGTGTGTTCTCATCCATCTTAATCCCTGGATCTGGCACATGGGACCTCTGGATCTTCCCTGAAGTCCAAATGGCCATGAAAGATAAATATTTTCAACCAATCCAGCATATGAAATAACAAACTTAAGACACTCAAGAAAGGAATTTCCAGAACTGCTTCAGGAAATGGGAAGGGCAATGGGATATGTATGTTTGAAGGGGAAGATATTTTGAAGGTGATTAGAGGCAATATATGCTTTAATATAACGTTAGATCACATGTCATAAAGAAAAGTATCATGTTAATTGGTTACAAAATATCATGGAGCTATTTTTTCTATTAGAACTGATTAATATATTTTAAAAATTCTACTTAAACCTCTAGTAAGGTTATATTTAAAACTTACAAATTGAATCCAAAGACATGTGAAAGACTAGAAGGCCAGGAAACTCCCAAAGAATCCTGGAAAATAAGGGCCAGGGTAGGGGACCTGGGATACCAGTAATGTAGAATTTAATTTATTTCTCTTTTAAATTGACATATAGCTCAAATTATCATAAAATGCAGCATTTTAAAGTATATATTCATAGTGTCTTTTAAAAATTGTATGTGAACTGAGTAAACATTTTTTTCTTTCTTGTTATTACTTTCTTTCCACAGATGTGGTCTTTATATGTCCTCCACGTGAGCCCTGAACCTGGTATCTCAAGTTTGTAGCGATCCTCCTGCCTCATTTTCCTGAGTGCCTGGGATTACAATGCACACAGCTTTGCCTTGACTGACTTGTCATTATTCCTTAAATAATTGTGTTAGCTTTCTGTCACAGTGACAAAATCCTTGTGGCAATCAGTTAAGCATGAGGAAAGGTTTGTTTTGGTTCCTGGCTGGTTGGCTCCATCGTTTCCAGGCCAGCCTTGGTGAGTTCATACCAGCAATGGAGCCCTTCAGTGCACAGCCAGGACCCCAGTACCCCTTCAAAGAAACAGACTGAGTGACTCAACTTCCACCAGACTTCGGAAAGTCTCCAGATCACTTTCCATAATATCACAGGCTGCTGAGTAAGTCTTAACAAAGGAGTTTTAGAGAACCATTTCAGATTCAAATTCTAAAATTCTTCCACGAGTCCTGAAATGCTGAGCACCCTATGTAAAATGCATCAAACAATCTCCAAAATCTCAACAGTTCACAAATCCAAATCTGAATCACTTCTAAGTCGTGAATCAAACTTTTAGCTGGGAACCCCTATAGAAAACAAGGAAACAATCTTTCCTACTTCTAGGATAAGCAGTCCAATCCAAAAGTGAGAAATAGGAAAATAGCAAAGAATGAGACCAACGCAGATCAAATCCAAGTCATATTCCAATTAGCAAGTCTGTGTCCAGCATCTGGCAGTGATACATATGCCTTGGAAGGCTTGGGCAGCACTGTACAGGGATCTTGCTGGCGGCAGCTCAGTGACCACTGTCTTGGGCTGCCTGTAGTTTCCTTCAGCATTTTTCCACATTCCTGGAATCTCTAACTTCCTGTGGTCTCAGTTTCAGGTTTGACGTCACTCTCACAGCATCCTCTCATGTGCTACCCTGAGAGACTCTGAACCTGCCATCAAGAGCCTTGCCTGTGAGGCTTTCCCTTGAAATCTTATGGGAATGTTCCACGGTCCCATGAAGTTTATATTCTGCATGCCTGCAAAACCAGTCACATGCGGATACAGCCAAGGTCTATTGCTGACCATAGCTGTACTGGGTCGAATCAAACCACAACCGTAGTGACCTCTGGATGTCTGGTTGGCTAAACCTATGGAAATAAATCTCAAACAAACAGTTCTACAAGTGGCCTTGTGCCAGATCTCACATCTCAAAAGTAAATATATCAGTGAATGCATCAATAAATATGAAGTTTTTGAGACTGTGGTAAGCTGATTCTCACTGATTCCTGAGATGATATATTTTTATTGTCCTGTTGTGAAATATCTGACTTCTTTTTAATAGTGCTATAAATTTTGCACCCATGTCTTCCCTGATTTCAACTTTAATTGCATTCCTTTTCTGGGCAAACTTTAAATTTTTCTGATAGTAACTGAAGATAAACTGTACTTGTTTTAAATATTTTGGTCACATAACTAGGAATGTAATAGGTGGATAACATGGTAAATCTCTGCAAGTTTTAAAGAATCATCAAATAACTTCCTAACGCAGTTGTACGGCTTCATATTCCAATTAGCAATGTATGAAGTTTCTGATTTCAAGTATTGTTTGTATTCAATTTTATATTGTAGCCATCCCATCAGGTATGAAGTGATTATTGTGCTTTTGATTTGTATTTGTCTAATATCTAATACTGTTGAACATCTTTTCATGCACTTACCTATTTGTACCTCTTCTTTGTAGTAATGCCTAGTTAGATCACTTTCTTAATTTTTATTTGGACTGTTAAATAGTTGTACTTCATCAAATATTCTAGTCATCTATTCCCTATCAGGGACAATGTTTTGAAATATTTTCTCCCACTTTTTGGCTTATCTTTTTGCTTCACAGTGTCTTCATTGCAAAAACTTTTTGATGAATCTCCAGGTATCTATGTTTTCTTTCAATTCCTTGTGCTTTAGATATATATTCAAAAAATTTGAGTAATTCAGCATCATGAAGACTTGCATCTTTGTTTTCTTCTAAAAAATTTATTGATTTTGCTTTTAAATGTGAGTTCTTAATTTGTGTTAAGTATATTTTTTCCTTATCTATGTTTTGTACATAGATAATACATATAACCATTTGTTAAGATACTATTACTTTCCATCTGAGTTGACTTATTACGTTTGTCAACAACTATAGAAAATACTAATAAGTATTTTAAGCCATAGTAATTAATTCATTAACCGAATAATGAGTAAATTGATAAGTATACATAATATGTATAAATATGTCTACATAAAAGAAAAATATTATTAAAGTAAACTTTAGCTCACATATTACATGAGTCAAGAATACATTACCTATAAATAAGATGTAAACCTGTATAAGTTGAAAGACAGGAAAATTTTTGTTCCTAAGATGAAATAATATTTATTAAACATTACCCTTAATTTGCAAATTATAAAAGAATAGAATATCAATATTATCTGATTAAAATTAAGAGTATAGACTCATCAAAGATATCAGAAGGAAAATGAAAAGATACACAAGAAATAATACATAAAGAGAGAAAGAAAGAGAGCTTCAAATTAACAAGTAAAACATAAATATCCCAGTAGATAAACGTCATTTTACAAAACAGGTAGTTTGAATGACCAATAAACACAAAATGCAATGTTCAACCTCATGAGTAAGTAAAAAAAAAATGCAAATTATAATTATAGTAAGATCATGTTCACATCAGATTAGCAAGAATTAAAAAAAGTTGGACAAAGCAAACATTGGCTAGAATCTATCTATCTATCTATGGAGACAAATAAAAACCATTTTAGTGTATACTCAGAACTAGTAGGAGTTTATTTCTCAGACTTTTAATTTTGATGAATTTTAAACTGAACGTGTTTACCATGTGAATAACAACTGTTGACTTTTGTGCAATATCCTACATTTTTTCCCACATCAATTTATTTATTATGTTTTGATCTATTTTAGTGTTGACCTGGCCAGTGTGATCCCTTCAGTGTGCTTCCTGTCTGACCTCTTTAGGATTTGCAGACTTCTTCACTTTCCAGCATACCAAAATCTCCTGTCTCAGGGTCTCTGCTAAGACGTGAAACAGATAGTATTCCTTTTGCACTGATGCAGAACATACTTTGATGCCATTGCCAGTGTTTCATTGTTATTGTTACTGTTTATTGCTATTTTTTGAAATTATCTTCTGATCTAGTGGCCACATATCAAGCCTTCATGCATCTGTCATAGACAGTTTTGTCAAGAGACATCTGCTTGAAAATTAAATGTCTATGTGTTTAATTACTTTGAATTCAAAGTGGACTATTTCAGATTGGTAAGTATGTGCATTATATCTCCCATTGTTTTGGTCCCAATTGAGTATGGTAAGTATTAATATATGATACCAAGCATTAAGTATGTGCATACCTCTCTGTGTGCTGCTGTTTGTTTTTATACAAACACAGAAATAGCCTAGAATAAGGGTGGGGAAGATCTGTAAAGGAGCAGAAACATAATTTCATTTTCATTTCCTCTGAAAAGCTGATTGGCCCCTGTTTTGTAGGTGATGACCTTTGTCTGAAACATGAAGGGACTTGAAATGATTCTCATAAAAGCGCTTGTAGAGTTGTTGACTTCAAAGAAGGATCTTCCCCCTGACTCCTGATCCTGGTCTCCATGCCTCTCAGAAACCAGTGGGCTTCGGAGTGACTTATGTTTCACTGATTGAAATGATTGGAGCTGACGCAAACACTATGGGCAGGCCTCGTAGCCACACGCTCGGCCAGACTTATTGTCAACATTGCCCTGATGACAGCATTCTCCTACCCCATCTGCAGCTGCAAGGGAATCCATTATTTTTCCCATCCCGAGGGAAGGGAAAGGTCTCCGGCATCATTACTCCTAGGCAAATGTAACTGACTCTACCACGTACCCTAATTTGCTTGCCATAATTATAGGTCGCTCACCTGCTTTGTTATTTCCAAACCCCTCCCCTTCTTTTCTGTTCTTATCAATAATAAATGGAGCCTGTGAATCATACTGCTGTAATATTTGTGTATTATGAAAATGCTAATAATAACAAGGTAGCGTCAGCAACGCCCTGGTTTTATCAGCTGGTCAGATGCTCTATTAGGCAGCCAGTGAGCAGTTCAAGCAAATTGGTTATGTTAATGTCCTGTAGTACTTGAAAAAGATGAGGAGTTGGCAATTAATTTTTTCCAAGCTTGAGGCCGACAGGCAAATTTATATTCCTCCCTCTCAGTGGGATCAGGCTAAGGGAAGGTGAGGCGGGGAAGCAGATTTCAAGTAGCTTTCCAGGGTCTAATTGAATGGTGCTAAATAAAGCCTGGAGAAAAGCAGGAAGAGGGGAAGGAGTGTACCCAACAATGGGCAAGCAGTGTTCCTTCCCATTCATTCCACTGACAGGGCTTTTGTAACTTAAACCTGTTTTATTAATTATGTTTGACATTTCCTTAATTAGTTTCATTTACATCCCATCAGCCCCTACCAGACAATTGCTCCATACATCATTTTACTAGGAGAGCACGATGCCTGCAGAATTATAACAACAACAGACACTTTTACGGAACTTACAGAAAATTAGTGGACAGCCCCTCCCATTACACATGATTTCCCAAGAAAGGGTAGAGTGGATTATCTGGGAATATTGTTTTCTAATTTCTAGGAGATAGCAATATATTAACAAAATTAAGATCATCCCACTTGTATGTATTTATATGCTCAAATGAGTTATCTGCCTGTAGGTTTTTACTAAGTCTTAAAGATTACCAATTAAAATAGATGCAAACCTGAATAAATGAAGAAGGGTCATAAACATAGCAGAAATGGCCTTAGTCCTTGTATCCTAATGTCCTCTGCTCTCAGCAGCCAAGCACACCTTCTTGGTCCTTGCCTGGAACCTCAGCCAGCTCTCAGACACAGAAGTTTTAAGCTTAACAACTGCTTAAGTACAAAGTTGAAGAAACAGTGAATGAATAAATTAAAAGCCACAGATCCTGGTCATATCTGCTGAAATTCCCTTTGTGATTATGACTCCTTGAACCCTCTGGATTTGCTGTTAGAATATGAAATGATACAAGATATGCTGCAGGCATTTGTCAGCATAACGTGCTATGCTCATACAAGGCACTGTATTTGTTAACATTCTGGGTTTTGTGTCTGTGACAGAGGTACCTCACAAGGATCCTAGTGAGTGTAATGGTGAGCCTGTGCTTTAATAAGAGGCTGACTTCTAGGCTTGAAATGTTTCATTTTCTTATCCATCTCCTATTGCTGCTTTCTTGGAGCTTATAGTATGAAACCAATCAAACTCCCCACCAGCTTTCCTTGAAGGGATGACCTCACTACTACCCAGCTCCAAGAGTGATACTTGCATAAAATTTATACTCAGAATCAATATACGACGAATGATATTTACCAAAACTGTATTTTGTCCAGCAACTAAGGACTCTAAAACTTGGTTATTAATATTAGTAGTAACACAAAACCACGAGGACAAAGTATTCTAATGACTGCTACCCTATCCAGCTTCTATTGCTTCATTTCCAGAAATTCTCATTATTTTTTATTGAAATTATAACCTAGGGTTCTGATGGGTATTGATTTTATAATGTCTTATTGACCAAGAGCCAATGAAGGTAAAGTGTGGGTTGCTTTCCTGGATCTCATATATTTCAGGCTGAGCTTCAGGGACAAGATTGGCACTGCTTCTGAGGAATGAACACAGCATGGACTTCAGTTAATTGGTGAATTCTATTTAGGTTAATCCATAACATTTTAATGAGCCCCAATGAACCAGCATTATCCCATAATTCATTATTGAATTATATGAGAGCTTATATTAAACAATTTGAATTTGAGCTTCTTTCTTTCTTTCTTTCTTTCTTTCTTTCTTTGTAAGTTGGGTTATATGAGAGCTTATATTAAACAATTTGAATTTGAGTTCCTTTCTTTCTTTCTTTCTTTCTTTCTTTCTTTCTTTCTTTCTTTCTTTCTTTCTTTCTAAGTTGGGTTAAGTGTTTGTTGATCTTATTTAGTCTTTCAAAGAACAAAGTCTTTCATTCACTTATTTTTGTATTGTTTTGTTAGTCTCAATTGCATTAATTTCTGCTCCCTAGTGTAAACTTTGGGCTTCATTTGCTTTTCTTATTCTAGAAGTTTGACGTTTCTCATTAAGTTCTTTATATGAGCTCATTCCTTGTTCCTAATGGGAAAGTTCACTGCTATTAATTTTTTTCTTATGACTGCTTTCATTGCATCCCATAAATTCTGCTGTGTTTTATAAGCAATATCATTTAATTGTATATACTTCTAATATCTTTAATTTCTTCTGTAATGTGTTGGTTGTTTGTAGGATATTATTTAATTTCCATGTGTTTATGGAGTTTTTGTGGATTCTTTTCACTATGGTCTAAACATATGCAGGAGCTACTTTTAATTCTTTTGACTATATTTTAGCATGTTCTATAGGCTGGTCTATTTTGGAGAACATCCTATGTGCTGCTGAAAAGAATGTTTATTCTGATATGGGCTGAAACACTCTGTAAACATCTACTAATCCATTTGTTCACAGGTTTTATTGTGTTCTGGTATTTCTTTGTTTACTTTTGGTCTAGTTGATCTATTTGTGATAATGGGGGAATTGTGGTCCCCGATACAATTGTGTTAGCGCTTATTTGATTTTTCATGTCTATTAATATTTGCTTTATATGATGGGTGCCCCTGTATTTGGTGCAATATGTTTATGATTGTTATCTCTTCTTCTTGTGGTTTTCTTTTAATAAGTATGTAGTGTCTTTATCTCTTTTGATCTGTCTTGGCTTAATGTCCACATTTTCTGTGAATAAAATATGTACCCTTTCTTTTTGCTGGGTTCTTATCACATGGAGTATTGTTTTGCATCCTTTGATGTTCAGCCTATGAATTACTTTGGTTAAATGTGTTTCTTGTATACAGCATAATGTTGGATCTTGCTTCTTGTTACATTCTGCCAGTCTACTTATTTTGATTGGTGAATTGAAGCCATTTACATGAATGGTTGCAACTGATACATAATGACTTGTAATATAATTTACCTATTGATAAGACTCTGTGTGTCCCCTCTGGTTAATTGTTTTGTTTCCCTTATCCTGTGGTTTCTTTCTATTGATCCTCTTGCAATTTGGGGTTTTGCTTTTTCTTTCTAGAATAACACTCATAGTTCTTTGCAGAACTGGATTGTTTGTCATGAATTTTTTCAGTTGTCTCTGTTATGAAAGTATTTTATTTCTCAATTCTGAAAGACAATTTTTCAGGATATATCAGTCTGGGTTGGTTGTTGTTTTCTATTGGGGCTTGAAATACTTCAAGCTGTCTTTGATTTATGGGTTTGTGTTGAAAAATCTGCTGCTATTATGATATACTTTATAGGAGGTTTGTTTCTTTTGTCTAAGAGCTTTTAATATTCTTCTCTTTTGCTGAATTTCTGAAATCTTGATTATTATATCCCTTGATGTGGATTTATTTTGGTTATGACTGTTTGGAGTCTTGTATACCTCATTTATCTAATGTCAAATTCTTTTTTCATGCTTGGGAAGTTTACTACTATTACTTTTCTGAACAAGTTTTTTCTTTTTTTTTTTTTTTTTGTACTGACTCTAGCATTTTCATTGACTACAGTCAGCATTGTGTTTTTCTTCTTTGCATTGTCTTGCAATTGTTGGAAATTTTTGTATGATCCCTTGTTATTTTTAAGATAGCTTTTTAATGATCACTAACCATGATTCTGTCTTCTAGGTCTCATAATCTACTTTTCATACAGTTTTGCAAACATTCAATGGAATTTTTAATTTTTATCTATTAAAATTTGTTTCTTGGGTTCCATTTTATTCCTGTATTGAGCATTCATGATTCCCATTATTTTTCTATGTTCCTGTAATTTTTTTGTCTGTGTCTATATTTGCTAAGCAAGTCCTTCATTATGGACATCATCTCTATTTTGTTTTTACCTGTAAAATATGTCCTTGTTGGGTTGGAAGTCTGAGATTGCATTTTTTTTCTACTTCTTGTCATTTTCTATTTTAATTTGCTTTATATGTTATTACTTGTATTTTTCTTATGTTAGGCAGCTTCACCATGGGTATGAATGCTTCCATAGTAAATTTTTATTCCTCCAAGATGTCTTCTAGGCATATATGGCTATTGGTCTTTATGTCTGTCACAAGTTCCTATCTTTTCATCTTATTGGGAATGATGTCTTGCCGCTTATCTGGTTCAGCATACAGTGCTTTGGTACCTCATTAGAAGAATGATTATGACTCCAGATTATCACAGTGTTATTATACAAGCATGAACAAGTGATTACAAGTATAGTATCTTGGCAAAAGTAGTACAACTAGTAATAACAATACCAAACATAGCATACAAGCAGATCATCTGCAGTAACTGCTAAGTTGGTATTTCTAATAATCATAGAAGCAAGATCTATAGTTATACAACAGCATCCAACATAGACAAGGTATTTATATGCAGTATTTTTCCCCCATGGTAGGGTCATTTTATCCTTTGGGGAGGGGAAATTTAAGAGTGATAGGGACAAAACAAGAGTGGAAGAGGAATACAGTAGAAGCAAGGCTGAAAAACTAAGGATGATCATCCAAACACTGGAAAACTGGAGAGAAAGAATGAAGAGAAAGCAAAAGCACTTTATCACAAAACAAAAAGACTAGACACAGTGTTTATTCACCTATTAGTCTCCAAGAATACCAAGAGACAGGTGAGAAAAGAAAGAGGCAGAACAGAGAAAATACAGCAAACAATAAAAGTCAAAAAGTATACCACCTCCCAGAAAATTGTTCAAAAAATATAGAAAAAAATAAAATAGAAAAAATGTTAAAAATGAAACATTCCTCTGGTAGCCTCAGTTCAGAGTGCACTAGTCAGAGATGAAATCTGTACTGAACCATTCCAAAAAAGTCTGCAGTAGGATTACTGCTGAGTGTGGGGCTGATTTTGGTTTCACTGCTAATCTGCCTTACACA